GATCTTCTGTTACTTGTGGATTTTGGGGTACGTTGAGCTCTATGCTAATAGGATTACCCTCCAAGTAAGCCGGTTTCAGTGTAGCCTCGACCTTAATAGCCAGTGGGCGAATTCCCTTGCAGTCAATAGTGTGACCCAGGAAGTTGAGTGAGTCAACACCGATTTGACACTTTTGAATATTAATGATAACACCATGTTGGCGTAACCTTTCAAATGCCAAGTCCAAGTGCCTAAGGTGAGTTTCCTTGTCTGGACTGGCAATGAGGCAGTCGTCTAAGTATGCGTATACAAAGTCAAGACCGCGAAATACTTCGTCAATGAAGCGTTGGAATGTTTGGGCTGCATTCCGGAGACCGAATGGCATACGTAGAAATTCAAAAAGTCCAAAAGGCGTAATGATAGCCGTTTTCGGGATATCTTCTGTTGCCATCGGGATTTGGTTATACGCTTTAACCAAGTCGATTTTGGAGAATATAGTCGCGCCGGATAAGGTTGCCGTCAAGTCGTGTATATGAGGCAATGGGTAGCAATCAGGGGTTGTTTTGGCATTCACTCGCCGGTAATCACCGGTGGGTCGCCAATCATTGCTATTCTTTTTCGGAACCATATGAAGTGGGGATGCCCATGGGCTATTCGAAGGTCGAATGATGCCAAGGGTAAGCATATGGTCAAATTCATTCCTGGCGATTCTCAGTTTGTCAGGAGCTAATCGTCGTGCTTTAGATGTCACAGGTTGTCCTGTGGTAATGATGTGGTGCATAACATTGCTGGTTATGCACGGTAGGTCGTTCGACGGGCAGTTAAGTTCCGGATACTTGTCAACAATAGGTTGAAAAGTTGGATCAAGGATTGCCTATGTAGCTGATGCCTTTGATAGACAGACTAGTAGTATTGTCAATCAGTCGTTTTCGGCGGACGTCTACGAGTAAATCATGATGATTAAGTAGGTCCGTGCCAATGATGGGCATTGTAACGTCAGCGAGAAGGAAAATCCATCGAATAGGTTTGCGTAAACCTACGTTCAGATAGACGTATTTCCTACCAAAGGTTGCGATTGGTTTTCCATTTGCAGCCTGTAAGTTGAAGGTAGGTTCCTTCTGTCGATCTGCTGCTGTAGCAGGAAGGACGCTGACTTCGGCGCCTGTGTCGACTAAGTATCGAGTCTGGCTTATCACATCATGGATGTAAAGAAGGCGGCTAGTGCCACCGGCGACGGTTGCCGCTAACGCGTGCCGGCGGGATAGTTTCCCACAGACTTTGAGACATTTCCGAAGTTACAAGGCTTACGGCAACACTTCGCTTCTTGGCCATAGGTGTTGTGGTACCAGCACCAGTCAGGGTTTTTCAGTGAACGTGGTTTGGACTTAGATCGACCACGTGAGTTCCTGCGTTGAGGAGATTTAGGACGACGGTCGGAGGAGTTAGAATGCATGTTCGACCTAAACATCTGCTGGATGGAGTTGCATAACTCTATCATTGCAGGATCCTTACTCGAAGTCTGCTTAGTCATCGAGCATATTTCGGGAACTGACCGTTTAGTTATTTCTAGAATCCTATCTGCAGTAATAGCTAAGTCACCTATTACAGTACCCTGAAGTGTCACAAGTACGGTCTGTACAGACTGTGGCAGCTTGGTTAAGAAGAGTTCTCTAAACAGTCCTTCGTCGAACTGACTTTGGCCGACGACTTCCTTCATTCTTGTCAGCATGCTCACGGCTGACTGATCTCCTAACTCGATGTTACGAAATAATTCATCTAGACGTTGTCGGTCCGTGAGAACGTTTCTCCTGAGAAGGGATGCTTTGAGCAACTCGTACGAGTTACTTACCTCGGGACTCAACATCTGTGATGTTACGTACTTGCTGAATTTCCGCGGTAGGGCGTGAATAACTGCAAGTAACTGTGAACGTTGATCGGTTATCCCATGCTCAAAAAAATCTGCTTCAGCTAGCTGAAACCACGTTTCAGCATTATCTGGCCAGTATGGTACGAGCTGAATGGTTTTAGGAGTTGAGCGGATACGGATGACCTTGGGACTAAGATCACTCATGACGAAAATTATGTCGAATAATATATGGTACAAGAACAAATACAAAATGGAACGAACTCACCGGGGTTATCTGCGGATTTATCGTGGATGAAGTTCGCGGTTGGGCTCACCAGTTTAAAGGTTGACGGATATCTCGTTCAGCAACTTCTAATTAATTTATTCTCGCGTACCAAAGACAAAGCAAAAGCCAATATTTGATCGTCCAAACTACGTGATATATTTAGGGACCAAAACAAACTGTCAGACGAACGCTTAGCTGGCTAGTGATCGTGCACGTGACACGACGGGGTACCAAATGGCGGGGATGCTTGACCGGAAGCCTTCAGCTAAACAAGTCGACTTAAACAGTGGTGGTCAGCATCCAATGGTGAGTGATTGCTGTGGTCAATAATTTTGGGGAATTATTTACCGCTACAGGAAGAACAGAAGCCCTAGCTCTTCTAATGCGAAACATATTATTGAGACAGGAGATAAATTTGCGTTTACATATCCTTTAAACCTATCTGTGAAACGTGTTTGGAGTCCATAATAATAATATATTCTCTTTTTCTGTACGCCAGTTTACAGGTATCATCAGCATTATAAATTACATACACGATCAGTGAGCATATTTAATAGTGATAATAAGATAAAATACATATGTATTCCTACCTGTGTAGGGCACAGCAGTTGTACAGACATGTATAAGTATTATTTAAATAAATTTGGTTTATGTTTAAATTACACAGTTGTTTTCATTTTGTCTTTAGTTTGTGGGAACAATCTGATAACTAGTCATTCAACGGACCACATTGGCTTCGCATTAACGAAAAATACTCAAGAATGTGTTGGACGGATTACAGATACTTGGGAAAAAAATAAAGATTGAAGTCATTTCCCTCATATAAAAATAAAATGCATCTTATAATAATAACATGTTCTCAGTTTATGTACACGAAGGACTCCAGCTAAAAGGCATCATGAATATGTAATAATGTATATATGGAGTAAGCATGTTCACAATTTTTACTGACACAGGATATAAAGTCTCCTTGCCAATGTTTTACTGTAAAAGCCTACACAGTTCTCAAATTAACTGATAATGATGAGGTGTAAAAATTTGTCCTTAATGAACTTAATATGGAGAGTCTTGTGAAGTAATTGCTTTGTTATCTATGCAGAAGAGAAGGAAAGGCATTCACAATCTCCTGCTTCATGTGGAATCACAATGCAATAGTATTTATATGAATAAACTGAAAAATGAAGTCTTCCTCACCTTCTAAACAACTTGTCTTATTCATAATGAGGTAATAAGTTTCTTTCACCTATAAGGCTAAGTTGTGTCCATGGAATCGAAATATTATGACAAATAAATCTTCCTTCAGAATAAAGGCCACTAGAAACGAGTCCACAACAATGCTACATATTATGATTATAGTGCTGATGTTTTTTGTCTCAAAGTGATAAACCGACTGTTATGAGCACATGAAAACTGAAATTAATGCTGCACTTGTGTCATGAATACCAACAATCACAAAACCAACTAAGACAATAGCGTCTGAATAAATAGGCCGCATATACCAGCACGTTTCCTACCTTATTTAGTCCCACATATTGCGCAGATATCAGTATCAAGCGACATTTTCTGATACAAACGCTGCAAATGTGACGCAGTTCAAGTACATTATGCCACCGATATTTTTTGAGTCAAAAATGCTTTTTATTGCGAAATTTCATTTAAAAGGCATAGAAAAACACAATTTGTTACTAAGCCAACATAGCAGAGGACATGAACACTACAATCAGCGAGGATATGTAATAAAGCCACTCCTAGAGTTCCCTCCTGAGCTTTTCCCAGGGTTGTGCAAGACATGCATATAACTAAGCCTTGAGGTGTACAGTGTCATTTCTTCCTCGTTACTTAAAACGGACGCCAATACTTTGGACAGTCTCAAGACAGTCTGCAAAAAGGTTGATGGTTCTGCCGTATACACCATACGATGAAACGCTGAAGAAAGGTCTTTCCATACTTGGGTAGGACCGGCTTAAGAGGTCTCCCTAATTTTTCCCTCGACTTTGACGCCACTGGAACCTTTGAACAGTATCCATAACCCCTCATTCATCCGTATAAAACTGAGCGGAGGCTAGACAATAATACAGTAACATTTGTTTCGCGTTCAAATGGCATACTAATCCGTATACATCTAAATTGTCATCTACCATTGCCAAATGTCCCTTGTCCCGCTCTTCTGACGGCTATGCCTATTAATTCACTTATTTTATTATTGTTTATTTTGTTAACCAATACATTTCATCATTGGTCTGTTTGTACCATTTTCTTTTTAATTCTACAGAATCTACAGAATAGTAACAGTCTTAACATACCTTATACTACAAACCACATATAATTAATCCCAGCACTACTCCCTTTGGAGTCAACCAAAGCTACGACATTCAAGTGGCGGGACAAGCTACGCAGAAGTTTACCGAAGATCAGGAATCTATACCTTACAATCAAGAAGCGAGCACAGAGAAATCGAATTGGTTTATACTAGCTCGTAAAACGATATTGAATATTGGAATCCACACCCATCAAAGCTCTTATTTATTGTTATTCGCCAATATTATTATTTGTTTTGGGCCACAACGGTCGAATATTTGGTGAAACCTTCAACATTATGCACAGCAGTGACACGTTCTTAGTGCTCTGTTTGCTACAAAGCGCATAGAACTACCACCTTGGAGTCAACCAAAGCTACGACGGTCGACTGGCAGGACATTATGCAGAAGTTTACCGTGCATCAGTAACTTTTACCTCAAAATCAGGAAGAAAGTGCAAAAAGATCAGTTTATTTAAAACCAGCTCATAAAATGTTATCGTATTTGATATATTGAATATCGATACATGGCCTTGTGCATGACCTCCAACATTTAGTTTTTGCGTAACAATGTGGGTCTTGGTAGTTTAGTTATGTCGGGATTGCCGCGTTTAAATATCAAACTTAGTAGTTATACTGGGCTAACATTCACTGTCCCAATATTTGGTTCCTTTATATACTATGTATACTCAAGAGACAAAAGCAGGCGCACAATTTACAACTGTGTTTCGACTACTAAAAGGTTTTTAAGGTATTTAATTCACATTAGCCGATACGTTATTATTTATTTCTAGAGCCGTCTACACAGGTACTCTGATTTCTTTGGATTATAAATGGACTATGACAGTATTCCCAAATGCAAGTGGATCAACTTGTATCTAAATGAACTTTCGTGTCCTGCCTTTTAGGATTCTGAATCCTACGTCAAAGAACTATCAAAATGTCACCAAAGAGCAGCTGACAGGATTCTCCAGGGCTGTTTGCGAAATGGAGGTTTGTATATCAAAATGGGACAGGGTCTCGCAAGTATGAATCATGTTTTGCCCAAACAGTATACAGAAACTCTGGAAAAGTTGCACGATCAAGCCATTATGCGCTCAGTAGACGAAGTATGTGTTTAATCTTTCTAAAAATCCTCCACTTTTCCGGTATTTGAGTTCAAGTTCTGTTTTTATTGAATATCCAATATTTTTTTTTGATTTACAGCTTGATTCCACACTGTATTTTCGGTACAAGTATGGAATTTTCAGCATGGATATTGGTAGCCCAAATTTTGCAGGCCGACCATAGATATCAGGTGTGCGTCGGTGCGGGCTCGAACCCCGGACCGTGTGCATGGTCGGCGAGAGTCCTAACCACTGTGCCACCGACGAGCTAGTGTAAACGAGTGATTTCTTTGAGCTCGCTTCTTGATTGTGGGGTAGAGGTCCCAGATCTTCGGTGAGCTTCTGCGTAGTAAGTCCCGCCACTTGACTGCTTTAGCTCTGGTAGACTCCAAGAGGAGTGGTGCGGGGATCGGTCAAGATGTGGTTTGTAGTATGCAGTAAGTTAGGACTGTGTTGCTGCCGTGAATAGAGTTTGACCTAACTCCCGTTGGTCATTCGGTGTAGTCATAAGAGCAGAATAGTAATAATAATAAGTTGTAGTGTAGATAATAAGGGTTGAGATAAGTGAAATAATAAAGGTGACCTAAGGAAAAGGTAGAGTAGTTAGTACAGTGAGAAGAGGCAGAGCAGGTTGTGGGGATTTAGTTTGTATGCTTATCCATTGAAAGTGTGGTTTTAAGTTTTATGAGGACAAGCCATTGAGACAGAAACCTTGCATTTCTGCATGATTGTCCAGCTTCCGCTTAAAAATCTCCAAGATGGAGCTGTAGTCACGGCCGTCGGTAAAGCGTTCCAGAGACGGCAAACTCGAAGCGAAAAGAAATGTGATCGCAGTCGAGTCTTTGGTCTCTGGTGTGCCATCCTTAGCGGGTTACCTCGTGGAAGCCTATCTAGAGTGGCACTTACAACAACTGACGTAAATGCTTGATTGCACTATGAATAATGTCTCGGAGAATTACTAAGGTAGAGTTCTACTTTCTAACCATGTTTAGTACCTTCAATCACAAATATATTCTGACAGGAGCAAACTTTAAGGTCACCAAGGAAGTGGGAGTGATAATTCGGAATAGCGTACAGGACTGTTTTTTTTACGAATTGTCCAGTTGTGGAAAAATCTAATATAAACTAGATATTATTGCACACAGCAAAAGAAATACTAGATAATAACCTCTGCCTTGATGTTTATGATGAGGGTTTATTAAAATCCTGTCAGTATGTGTAAATTAGTCACATCGTATTAGTTATTTGTCAAGATTTTTCGGAGAATAAATACAACCCAGAAATGGTCAGTCGAATTATTTTGTAATTGCTGGTTCAGATTTTTATGCTGAGCTCACCGTAAATAAAAAATGCTTTTGTTCAAATTGTAACATGATAGGAAAGAACATCCTGAACAATATTGTAGTCCTGAAAACCTTTCCCATATATGACACTTTTAGTACTGTTCCTACAAAATCAGGCCAGATTCTGTACCTAAATTCGTAGGAGTAATTAAGTACCTTTTCGCTGGTTCTTGAACTCGTGACAATTTGTATGAGTACCTATTGAGGCTCTTTTGAGCATAAACACATGATCGTTAGGGATTACAGCAAGTTGCTCTACTATCAATGTACTTCTACAGCTATTCAAAACCTAATTCCTATAGGCATATCCTGGGCTGCATACACTAAAAATGTTGCTGGATGCGTTATGATCAATATCTCGTCTCTTGCATTTTTGCTTCGCTTCTCACCAACAAACAAAAAACTATGGTATAAAGGGGAAGAATTTCGACCTCTGGGAATGATTTTATCCTAACCCAAACATAACTTCTAGGTGATCATCTTGTGGCTGCCGCAGTGTTAATATAGGTGTGGGGAGTTTATGATAAGTAAAACTGTTTGAAAACTGCGTTGTTTTTCAAAACAAGTTTCAGCACCCTAGATATTTCCTTCAACTTTACATTCAAAATCTTTCAGTGTGGTATAGTTTTTATTCTCCCTTAATTTTCTATAGGTGTATCGGATATTCATGGAAGATTTTGGCAAGCCCCCTTCGGAACTGTATTCCAGTTTTGAACATGAACCAATAGCTGCTGCTAGTTTGGCTCAAGTACATCGTGCTGTTACACATGAAGGAGAGCAAGTCGCAGTGAAAGTCCAGTATGAAGATTTGCGTGATCGATTTGATGGGGATATGTCAACCCTTGAATTACTTTTAAAATTGGTTGAAATAATGCATCCTGATTTTGGATTCGCCTGGGTTTTACAAGATATGCGTGTAAGTTATTTCGAATATGGTATGCTTTCTTATTTGCTAGGAACTGTTTGACAATAAGAAATAAGACTTATTAAATAATTAACCCAAAATTTCTGTTCTCTGTTTTGAATTCACTTTTAATAAGATGATTCGGAGCGAACAGTTGTTTTCGATCAGTTCTTTTTCAGGCCCTATAGTCATAAATCCATGGATACAGATACAGGTAGCCATTAAAGACATGTGAAAATTATATCGGAAGCTGTATTGGGGTGAATAAGAAAAACCTTCATTTAAGAGAATAGTTCAAACGGGATATATACAGTGACATATAAAGCCGAAGGTTGATCAGATCAGTTGAAAGAACTTTCAGTGCTGCATAACTGCACTTCAGTTTCTCAGCCGGACCGTTACTCAAAAAGTGCACCAAAGACAAATGACCTAAGATGGCCACATCACTGTGTGTATACAAGTTCAACTACTTATGTGGAGCTAGTTACATATGTCGAACTCAGAGGAATTCATCTTTACGCGCTCGTGAACATGTTCCTGTTTGGTTTGGAAAAAGTGTAACTAAGTCAATAAATAGTTCCACTTTGTCTCACCTAGTAGATAGTAAACATAACATCTAAATAGATGAGTCATATACAGTTATATATCAAGTAACAAACAATATGCTTAAAGGCACACGATTATATTAGTTCGCTGTAGCTGAAGTTATAGAGATTAATAAATAAAAACCTGTTATGTGTGTGTGCAAAAGAAGCACATTCATCCTCTCTGTTTACCCTGGACATAATTATGCATGTTTTCATGTCACTATTATGCCTTCTTATTCCTTATATATATATATATATATATATATATATATATATATATATACCCCAGTACAACTTTCGACATGATTTTCACATGCCTTTAATGGCTATTATAATAATCATGGCTTTATAACTGTAGGGCCTGAAGAATTTATCAAAAACAATTATTACAACATTATTATCCCCTTGCGTACCGAGTGGAACACAGAGCTTCAACAACACATCTCCACTTTCTTCTATTTTTCGCCATCCTCTTCAGCTAGGTCCACGATTACCCATAATCTCTCATCTATTCTTCACATGATCGCCTCCATGTAACCCTCGATGTGACGTCACACTCGTTGCTTCGCATTAAAATTCCATTCGAGTGATGGCCTAGCACGCGATGTAATTCGGCAGCCTTCCAAATGAATGCATAATCCATCTCCTGTAGCAGTATCTTACATTTTACAGGGGCGAATCGCATGCTAAACATACGAAGATTGCTGCTCAAGGTGTTCAGAAGACTCTGCATTTTGTCAGAATCCTCCCTAACAGGACTATGTCATCTGCATATCCTAAGTCCATAAAACTATTCCCTGGTAACAAGTCGATTCCTAAATCGTTAAGTCCAGTTAAGGATACTTCCATTAGCATATCTATGATGAAGTTAAACAGAAATGGGGAAAGTAGACATCCCTGCTGGGCACTACTGGTTGTTATCAATTCAGATGACAATTCCCCATAAGCCCTTACACGACTACGTGAGTTCGAATAGAGTGCCTTGATTAGTGCAATGTACTTTCTTGGCACTCCCTCCACAGTCAAACACTGCCATAGTACCTTTCGATCCACGGAGTCGAAGGCCGCCTTCAAGTCAAGAAATATGGCAATTGTTGGACGCCGAAAAGTGTGTCTATGTTCTAGAATCTGTCGGAGAGTGAGGATATGATCTATGCTCTGCTTAGTCTGTGTATGATTACTGAGCCTAGGATTTTAGAGACTATGTTCGTTAGGCTGATCCCCTATGATTATCACACGAGGACTTGTTTCCCTTCTTGAATATCGGTATAATAAGTGACTTACCCCAGTCTGATGAACTGTCTCTGATTCCCAGACTTTGCCTAGTACCTCAGTTAATCTACAAACTAGTATGTCACCCCCATATTTAAACACCTCCGGAATAATTCCGTCGGGTCCTGCCGCTTTGCCTCGTTTCAAATTACTGATAGCTTTTGTGACCTCACTTACAGACGGCGGACCAGTGTCTATATCCCATTCGGGTGTGTGCTGGATGGCGGGGAGGTTCAGTGTGGCTGTAGGCAAGTTAAATTGTTCCTCAGCGTTCAAGGCGTCTATCCTGAGAGCTAATTAAGGAGCCATTTTTCTCAGAAATAGTCTCACTTATGATTTGCCTTCTCCCACCCGTTTCCCCGATGAGTCTAAAGAGTTGCCTAGTGTTGCCTATCGCCGATGCTTTTTCCATCTCTTTCGCCTTTGTCACCCACCACTGTTCACGGTCCTTGCGGAGACTTTTAGTAAGTTTCCTTTTGTGCAGCTTTCGCTCCTCATTGAATTCGGAGCTCGCCGGAATAAGTCTTCTAGCATCTATCAGTTCGGATGAGGCAGTCGAAATCCAGTGGTTTTTACTCACCTTTGGATTTGCCTTATTCACAGCTTTTACAGCTGTATCTATGGCTGACTGAATATTCTTCCAGGCTTCTCCAGGGTGAGCACAGCTGTCGAACTCAGATGTGGTTTCTTTCTCAAATAGGGATTTAGTTTCCTGATCGAGCTGGGGACGTGATGGTTTTACCGCCAGCTGTTTCCTACGTCCGTTCAGTCGTAAGCACACACGAGCGCGGACCAGTGCGTGATCGGTATCTACACACGTGTTCCAGAAGGAGCGACAATCTCCTACCGACCCACGCCAACGATAGCTTATTGCTATGTGGTCTATTTGTGTCCAGCGTTGGTTTGATGATGGGGGTCGCCAGGTCAAACAGTGTCTCTCCTTGTGTTTGAAGTTAGTGCTTACAAGAAACAAATGATTATCTGAACAGAACTGTAGGAGACGGTCACCGTTGTCGGTTCGCTGGCACGGGACTCCATAGGTGCCACCGACATCCTTCTCAGATTGACACAATTTCCCTACTTGAGCATTAAAGTCACCAGCTAGAACGACTATATCTGAGCGTTTAGCCTTTCTCACCAAACTAGACAGCTTTTGGTAGAACTCATCCTTCGTTTCATCCGAACTGCAGTCAGTGGGGGCGTAGGCGGAGATTACGAAAAGGCATCGGCGAGTAGTGCAGTCCTTTCTCCTTCTTACTGATCCGTTCAGACGGACAGCACACATTCGGCTATCTACCGGGATCCAGTCAAGTAATGTCTTTTCTGCCCTAGTACTCAAAGCTATCCCTACGCCAGCTAATCCTCGTGAACTAGCTGTGGCATCTCCTGACACCCTCAAGGTGAATTTTGAAGATTCATCCTGTTGGCCAGGTGGGGTTAGGTGAATAACCACACTTGGGTCTTGTATGCGTGTTTCTGAATCACAACATACATCAATGGCTCGGGATGCCAGGGTCTTAGCTAGTGATGCTTGTTGTCCTATTTGGCAAAGTGTCCTAACATTAAATGCTCCTATATGAAATTGGTGGCGTGGCTTTAGGAGACTATCAGTGGTGGTGTTTTGGCTTCCATCGTTTTTAGTGGACACAGAGTGAAGAGGAAGTGAGGAGCCATCAAGTAGAGAAGTGGAAGGAAGGCAAGATAATAGAGATGAAGATGAAGACAAAGATGAGTGAGAATTAGAGAAGTTTTGTGTGCATTCCGGGTTGTGAGGGGGATTGTTACTTCCCGGCTGCCCACACCGTGGAAGTTGGTTGCGTGACCGCAGAGCCCAGGGGACAACTGCTTGTGGCCGGTCACACGCGGCCTGTTTTTGTTCGTTCTTTATTGTTTGGTGTGTCTCAGTAGCATATTTATCACTCCTGCCCTGTGACACGGCAGCAGGAAGCGCGGTCGTTGTTAATCCGGGCCCCGGCTGATCCAGCATGACATTTTGTGAGTTTGTATGTATCATAGCGTTGGATTGGGTAGCTGCTTTTTGTTTAACCGCTATCCAAACAACCTGCCTGGCATGGTAGGACCTCAAGAGACATAAGTCTCAGCCAGTATAGCTTGATTAGATCATTGTGGTGTTCAAGTCCGACCACCACGTCAAGGTAGCAGCTTTTGGCTGGGGGTAATGTGAATGATAGTAGTAATAATAATAGTGGAAAAACATTTACGGCAATATCATCAGTTCTAAGAAGTGTCACTTAGGATTTTTGACTGTCATCTCGGTAGTTTTGCTCATGTCAAACAAAAAACCTGCATCTTTCTTTGCTCAGATCGACAATCAGTGATTTTGTGGGTTGATGCTAATTTGGGGTTCTCTCAAGGGTTTCTCGGTGCATTACTGCCCCACTCAGTTGAGTAAACATCAGTTGGACATTCAGGGTACATACTCCAACCACTTTGGTTGATGGAGACTTAAGGCCTTGTATCAATGTGATATTTCCCTCTGCATCATATTTGAAGTTGGTGGGATATTTAGCTTTACATCAAAGGTGAGTATAGTGCGCGATAATCTACTGTACTGTATTACGTGACCGAACATCAATGTTGAAAGTAAGCGGTGAACATAAGAATTTAACAAGTTTTTAGCAACATCAGTATTCGTAGCTACTTTTGTGTTTTGTGGGACTATTGTGAGTAATAGTAAGCTCATTAAATTTCCTTGTAAAAAGATCTTTATTGAATTCAGCTAACGGGAAACACTTTGTACCTCATACAGAGCAATATTATCTGAATTATTATTCAGGTATAAATTTATCACAGATTACAAGAACAGTACACAGAGCCCTGGTAGGTAGGTAGTTACCTGGGGTTCTAGTAAGAAGTCGTGACAAGTAGGGTGCAGCAGGTTGGGTGTGAGGACAAATACTCGCCAAAGACATTGACTAGAGGTCGCGCTATGTCATGAATTGGCATAAGTTAGAATTCATGGGTCATTGGATCGGGTCCCAGTGGCTTAATGGTCTGCGAGCTCGCCTTGTAACCAGAAGGTCCTGGGTTCGAACCCCAGTGGGTGCGTACTGGTGAAGAGTCCCAAACTAGGACGAAACAGCTGTCCAGTACTCCCAGGTTTTCCAGCGGTCCTCTAACCAATGTCAGCTC